AATAAAGAGTTAAAATTTACAAATCTAATAAGATGAGGGGTTAAATAGATCATAATATAAGTTGCGTCCTTAGACCGACACATCATTCCAAACTTTGAAATCCCTGCAGGCCCCTTTAGCATCTTCCAACTCGTTTCTTTGGTGGCTCGAGTTTTTCTCTATGATCAAATTCTTCTCCCTGTGGCATCAAAAATCAAAGGGAAACCAGTTCCTCTTAGCTTCAAAGTGAGAATGGGGATTGGACTGAATTTTACTTCTGCATCCATGGCAGCAGTTGCAATTGTAGAGAGTATTCATCGGGAAATTGGTGTGGAACAAGGATTTTCGGATGATTCACAAGCCATAGTGCACCTTTCAGTAGTTTGGTTACCACCCTACCATTTCCCGGTTGGCTTGTCTGAGGCTTTTGTTGCAGTTGGGCAGACCACATTCTTTTATTCAGAATTACCTAAAACAATGTCTAGCATTGCATCCAATCTTTTCATACTAGGCATGGCTGCTGCAAGTTTGGTAGCAAGTTTTATAACAAGCACAGTTGATGATATTACCAAAAGATTAGGAGGAGAGAGCTGGGTTTCAAGCAATATCAACTAGGGTCATTATGATTACTACTACTGGTTTCTTGCAGGTTTGAGTCTGCTTAATTTTATTTACTTCCTAGCCTGTAGCAAAGCTTATGATCCTTGTAAAGAAGATGAAGGTGAAATTTCCCCCCAAGGAGATGACATTTAGCGATATCTCTGCGTGCTGTATAATGTCAATTAGTACTTCATTTCGGTTTCCATGTATATATATATATATATACTGAAAGTTGGGTTCTGGTATAGAACCTCTTTATTCTAATAAATACTGTTGTTACATTCATCATAGCTTCTATTCCGAAGATGGTCTTATTTGGTTGATAATTGCTGGATAAATGCTATAACTACTGTCACAGAATTATCTGCAGCAAGTGAAGTGAAAGTAGAAGCTTCATTAGACTCAGCAGATCCTCCACCAGCCAAGTCAGATAGAGCCCTAATAGCAATGAAAGGTATGTTTTGCTGCAGGCATATCAAAGCGACTGATGCACTCTCCATGTCCACAGGGCTCACATTGAACTGACCATATAAGAAGCTCCGGTAAGCAGCATTATCTAAGTAAATGCCGCCGCTTGTTCCTCTGTAGACAGTCACCACTTTCGGCGTCTCAGACAGACACGTTGTGGCATTCACACAACCCTCCAATTTCAAGCCCTGATAGCATAAACATCCATCATGCTCGTGTACACAGGAGAATTTGCAATTGATTTAAACAGTAATTACATGGACTTTACCTCTAGTGATTTTGAAATGTTGAAGTAGCTGGAATTGACAGGAACCCAAAAAGCATGTTCCCTATTCTCAGGAGTTCCATATACGGGGAAAACTTCCTCTGGTTGGTACCAGACATTATTGAGAAGGTTGTCTGATGACTTACGTACAGTCTTATTCACCGTGTAATTTGCAAATCTGAGGTACCCAATGTCTCTTGTATAGTCCCCATCTGATTCAAGGGCTAGCTCATCTTCAGGTCCATCTCCATGCCTCTGGAACAGATTACACGAAATGTTATATATGCGTAGCAAATGAGGCTTAACACAAAATACGTTTTATGTGTTTTGAATAGAAATCACCTGCCAATTCCAAAGAGCTGTATGAGCCCAATACTGAGGAATGGTGACATCTCCAATGTTTAGGGAAGGGTTAGCATTTCCAGCTATTCCATAATGCACCACTCCTTCTATATTGAACAGAGCAAGTAGGAGCTGGGTGGTTATACCTGCATTAATCTACATTCCAATATTTGACAAAAGAGATTTTTCTTTTAAGAGAAGCATAATCCTAGTGTGTACCATAAGAAGAAGGGAAATGAGATGTTGAAGAGAGAAATACCATGCTCAATCCTGTCATGACTAATATGACTCTTTTCTCGGCAATGGTTCCAAACCTAAACCTCCTCCCTGAAACGAAACCCAGTCAGAAAACGAAAAACAAGTTGAGTTAAAAGGAGAAAACAAAAAGGAAAATTTTTTTGGTGTATATATTGTACCAGCAAAATCAATGGTAAAATTGGAGGATGTGTAGTTGGGATGCTGAAGAAGAGGGTTCATTTCAAAAAGGTTTGGAATCACCAAGCCCAAATAGGAGCCATTCGAATTGGCTTCGTGGATCAATTTTTGTGTATGTGCTGGTACTGCACTATTTGCTTGGTGATCCTTAAGCATCATAAGAGCAAGAAGCATCATCAAAGCAACTCTCATGGCTAGCATCTCTGAAATGAGCCTTGTAATTCTTGAAAGGCTATTGCCATTAAATACTCCAAAACTAGTCCTTTTAATTATTACGAAGCAGTACACCTGAGTCTCGTAATTTGAAAATCTAATAATTATATGTTTTAATTAAAATGTGTATTTTTAATTTCAAGATTAGAATTTGAAACCTTTATTTTAAAATTATAACATATTCAAAAAAAAAGTTATTACAAATTAGTATAGTTATGATTTTTATTTTTATTTTTATTTTTGAACTTTTAAAATTCAAATAATTAAAATTAATTATTAAAAATTTAAATGAACAACTTATTAGTTATAAATTTTTTACATGTAACCAGAGACTGCAAACCAGTTATTATCTTGTTCCAAAAAGTAACAGCCACAATGGGATTTTTTGGTCCCTGATTATCTGCTCAAAAAGATGTGGCTGAGCCAAAATTTTATCAAGACAATTTTCACGTGTAGAAATGAAGGCTGGACCATTCGCATTTTTGTTTTCTTCCTTTAAAAAAAAATCTAGTCATTCATGACATAATCCAAATTATTCGATGTGATTGTCAGAATGAAATGAATTCAAACTTTGGAAGGACCAGGCTCATTTTACGTGGAAAAGATAACTGGTACGTTCGCATTTGTTTTCTTCCTAAAAAAATCACAGTTCACAAACTAGCCTTTCATGTCCATTGCCTATTTTCATAAAAAACAAACTAGCCGTTCAAGATTTTCCTTTGTGTTCCACCAAAAAAGACAGACATAAATTTACAGTGGGGAAAGACACTTTAAGTCTGTAAAGTAATAAAATATCTTTCAAAGGGAGTCTGGTTTTCTATAGAATTAAAGGAAAACATGAAATTGTTTGATATTATTATATTAGTGAAGGTTAAAATAAGAACGTCAGTTTTATTTTTTTTATTTAAAAATATTAATTTTTAAAATAAAATGTTAATTTTTAATTTTTTTTAAATAAAGATATCAACTTTTATTTTTTTTATTTAAGGATTAATTGAGTGGTGATGCTACTTGGCTAACATATTTTTTAGGTTAAATACTTAAATTGGTCCCTCAACTTTTATTTTTGAATTAATTCATTTTTTAACTTCAAAAAGTACCGAAAACATCCTTCAATTTCAAATTTCAGCACCAATTTTGTCTTTTCGTCAATTAAGTGTTGATGTAGCTAATTTTTCGCCAAGTGATTGACTATTTTATATTTTTAATATTAGGTGGAAAATCCACTTATGTAAAAGGTGATTATGTGGATTCTTTAATTTTAAATAATTTTAAAACTACTTTAATTTTTAATTTTACTTTATTTATATTTAAATATTAAAATAATTAATATATTTTTTCATTTAATTAGTCCCA